CAGAGAGGTCAATATGGTATGTACAGGTGTACAATCGTGCAAATACAGAACTCAATGGATCGGGTACAGGTATCAAAAGTTGGCTGCTTGGAGGCAAGATGTTGTCCACCAGGCTGAATCACCCCCACCTGCGGTACCCGGTACATGTTCTTCCCATGAGTCGAATTCTTCAGGGTGCATGTGGGCCTTGTTGCTTGTGCAAACCACCAATGTCACAATGGCTAAACTCTGTTCAAGCATTCAAGACATTGGCCAACAATATGGCTAGATGTCATTCATAAATATTATGTCGGTCTTCTGTTTCAGCACTTTCACAGCACTCATCCCAAAGGCCTTTCGATATCCTCCGATGCTCTTCGACCTTCCATTTCAAAAATGGACCCCGTCCCGAACCTCACCGAGATCGATTGTTCTTCACACCGAAAAAACCACCGGCGAGGCGCTGTAGAAAGGAGGCCGTGACCTCAATCTGAGATCCAAGAAGCCCTGCCTGACAGAAGCTCCCAGTGAATCGACTGTCATCGGCCACAATGTTCAGCAGTAAAACACAACTTCGCGGTGCGAAAGTGCATGTGCAAAAGCCCGCGGCACAGAAGTCAATGACAGGCCTCCTGAAAACTAACATAGACTTCACAACATTACGCAATATGTGGTTCTATTGAGATCTATGGATCTAGTGTCTGAATGTTTATTAAACAAAAAATAGATTGTTTATGCCAAAGAGAAGACCATACTCAACTTCATCTTCGCACTCGGCCCCCAACCTCGGAGAAGAGATGAGCCGCAGCCTTGAGACATAGCCCGGGCCGGCTCTTGTCCTGAGGGCTGGGGCGGCTGGGGCTCAGTGGTTCAGACCCTGTCTGCATCCGAGTCACAGTCTTCGGATCCACGTCTCGTCTGGTGGATCAATGTCTCACCTGTTGATTCTCCGGTTTTCCGCCAAACATTTGTGGGATACTCGGCCGCCAAGGCTTGGCTGTCTGAAGAATCTAGACAAACCAAACCAGCAGCAGCTCAACCCCCCCAGATGTTTCTTCAGCTCAACATGACAACCCACATCTGTTATCACCTGCAATCAAGTCAAAACCAGTTTTTGACCTCATACTCAGCTCAATGCGTCCAATCCGAACCAAGACCCCACCCCTATCGCTCCGCCGATCCAAACGGCCGTGCGTCTCCCACCATGGTGTGGGTCTTCCCAGTGCTGGTCTGGCCATAGGCCATGAGGGCACCATTGAGACCCCAAAGGACACCATCCACGGTCTCGCGGCCCGCGACTTGGAAGCAATCCTGGCGCTCACATCGCTCGGTGGAGTTCCTTTCGCTCGGTCCATGAGAAGAATCGCTCTCTTTTTGCCGGCGTTTCGCTTAGTATTGTTTTGGGAGCAAAAAAAAGCGCAGACTCACGTTGCGGATGAACTCTCTAACTCACTCTATGTATATATATACAGCATTATACAGCTTGATTAATTCTTGGATCTTTAAACGAAAACTCACCCCCTTGATGAAATAAGGAACCACCCAGCAAGTGATCCTTTTGCCATGGGCCATGGGTGACTTGTCACACCCAGCGTTACTCCCATGACCCGTATGTCCGATAGCCTTGAAAGGCAACTAGTAGATGCCAGTGGACGATGTGAACCACCACTCTCGCAGGGTGCGGGGAGCAACAGTCTATGTCATAACTGGGTTCTTGAGAGATATTGGACGATGTTAGGCAAAGCATGTCTATTTGTAGTTGGGAAACTGCTAGGTGTGGATCAAAACTACGTGGCCACAAAAACACGTGTTGATCATCACTGCCGCCCTCCAATTGATGGTGTCATCGTTGTTTCAAACCTACGTGCCACGCCGTTGTTTCAGGAGCTAATGCAGTGATCTTGTGGCATGGGTTGTACACTCTGCTCTCTAGAAAGGAACCTTGACCGACTCTCGGTTGTGGGACATGACTTGATGAATTCAGACATCATGTTGTTGGGTCATGGAGATGGATTGATTTCGTTCAAGAGCCCCTGCATCCTCACCCCTTTTGACTCTAGAGTCTAGAACTTCCCCACCCAGCTCCTCCTGACTGGAGTCTTGGTCCAGCAGCCCATCGAAGCCAGGATACACCTCTCGTGTTCACGGGTCTCTGACCGATTCGGTCGTCATTCGGTTCTGGCGCATGCTTTGTGGACCCTTTGAGGGATGGTTTTGGGATGGTCTTGTAGACCTGTGTGTTTGGTCGTTTCAAGCACAGTCGTTGCTTCCCCCGAGTTCCTACGATCAAAAACACTTCTCACCAACCACTGTCGCATTGCGATTATTGTCTATTCGTGTCCCCTTTCCCCGAAGTGCGGGGCCAACCTCCTTCGAAACCTATTGGCCTATTGGTCTAGGTCAAAACTTCACAGGTTTGGGTCGACTGGCCATGTCGTCCGTGGCGTTTTGACCTTTGGCACAAGCACGTGCATCACCTCCCTCCAGCGCCGCCTTGACGCCTTCAGGCGGCGGGTCATCCTTGCTGCCGATGAGAACAGGCTTATCCTCTGTGCCTGGGATTTGCTGTGAATATGCTCATGGCATTGGACAGAGCAAAAACTCCTCCACCATGACTTCCCCAAAGATCAAAAATCGTCAAGAATCCTCGTGTGTGTTGGTTTGTTTTTAAATCAATCTCAAGGCGCTAATGTAGACACGCTCATGGGCCATGGCGATGCAACCATGGTAGCAGCCTGGGCGTGGCCGTCAAAGGTTTCCAGTGCCCAAACGGACCAGAGCTCAGGTGTGCACCCTTACTGTCACGAGTCACAACTCTCGCAAACGACTCAAGGACAATAGGGAGAGAGTAGCATGTGAGTTTCCTCGCTGTTTTGGGCTTACTGGAATTGATCGTCTGCTCTTCCGCAAAGGAAATAACTAGATTTGGCATCCCTGAAAAGTCTTCATTCTCAGCCAGCCCCCAGCAGCTCGTTCTCTTGATTCTCTGGGTCTTTGCCAACATGATCCGACAAAATCCATTGGAACCACTGCCAAGGCGCCATTCTCCACCTCCCGCTCTAAAACTGGCCGCACCCGGACCTTGCCATCCAGATTGACGTCGAGAATTCCATAGGTACTCTGAATACCACCAGAACAAAGGGAGTTTCCGGAGCTCCTGGTCAAACCCATCTTTGCTAAAGAACGCTTGAGCAAGTTCACTCCCACTCTTCTCAAACCCATATGTAGATCATTCGTTTCCAACATGCTGAGGTGTGCTGTTTCATTTGCTTCAGTTCATGTCACTGATCCTGCAACTCAACTTTACAGAGTTGCAAGCTGTCAGGTGAAAAAACGAGCAAAGCACTTCGGTCAATGCGATGTGCTTTAGTCACTGCTAGTCCCATCTGCCAACCATTTTTGCTTGACTGAACGTGTTCCGTTCGCTCCATCGGCCGTCCGTCCGAGTTTGTAAACTCGCACCGATCGAAGCACACGCGTAGACTCTCGTACATCTCATAGACTATAACCTGCGTGAGCCTAGGCCACTTGAGGTTTCTGTTCCTATCTTCAGGACTATGTATTTAGGACTTTCATTTGGAGATAGTCATGGACAAACGATTTGGAGATCCTATGATCTGTGTGTCCATGTGTCAAACCACAGACCATGTCTTTCTGGCAACAGGCACAATTTCCTGCCAGACTCCGCTTTCCTTTGCACAGTAGTTCATCCTGTCGACTTCACCCATGAATCCTTTGTTTCCCCCGTGATCCCATGTGTAGAGAAATGAGAGTCATTAATAAACCACCAGAACCTGGTCCCAACGAACCCCCCCCAAAAAAAAAGAAACACAACCCATGTCTGGCCGCAGCATGGCCTGGCCGCTGGCCCAGCTCTCTCTGCATTCACCCAAAACCCCTCATCCAGGAGCCCCTAGTAGCTTCTTGTTCCTAGTAGATGCCAAGACGCCCCTACCAAAACCCCGAGCCGAGCAGCGCAGACTTTCACCGGGCGCTTCAGCCCTTTGGGCGCCGGCGCCGAGGAGGCCCGCACGCGCGACATGGCGGTCGAGGTCAGCGAGGAGAGCGGGTCAGGTCGAGCTGCGAGGGTGACGCGAGTGACGCGAGCTGCGGGGAGAGTGAGGGGATGCGAAGTCTGAGGGGCTTCGGTTTTGGGGGTGTTTGAGACCCCCCAAACATGGCCGTGCTGGGCTTCGCTTAAACTTGATTCAAGGCCTAAAGATCAAAGAAAAGTTCAAAACTCAGTTTTAAGATGTTTTAAGGGCTGCAAGTGTCTACACTGACTTCTGATGCAGAAGCTGAGGGTTGGACTTGGGCTCTGACAGTCAAATGCCTTGATTGTGCCTTCCTAAACTCTTCGGATAGACTTGCAACGAATGCAGGATGCTTCCAATCGAACTTCCACAAGATGATTGGCTCTCCTGTAGTCTTCAAAAAGAGAACCTACAAATAGATCAAGACATGTCAACCGGTAGACTCCCTTTTTCCTGCCAGCTCTTCGGGTCGCTCTTCGGGGAATCGCTCCTTTGGCGCTCCGCAGTTGGGCGTGCCCGCAGCGCCGGCATCCTGCAGGGTGTGAGGTGTGAAAGGTCCGAGAAACTTGGAGTGCCCTCTGATGCTCATGTCATGTAGGTAACCCCGAATTTGAAAGAGGCTGTATATATATATAACTATATACATGCTTTTACAAGCCATGCCTCTTCTTTCTGATTCGATCCAACACAGTGAATTCAAACCGATTGCCACAGGACGATGGGCGTATGAAGACATCCGGGAGACCAAAAAACATCTCGCCCCAATGGCTTAGTTTTGGGTCGAAACCCGAAGTGTCGGGGTCGGAACGCCGGCGTTTCGGTCTCGTTCAGCTACACCCAACACCTCGTCATCTTCATCCAAGTACACCGGAGCGGTGGCCGGTATATGGAGATCGGATTACGCTGGAGATCCTTCGACCGTCAAGTTGAAGGCTTCGTCGGAAACAAGGGGATAGTGATGGGATCTCCCCCCATGGCTCGATGACTGACGAACCTTTGTGAGTGAAACATGGAAGAACCAGCGGCTCGATCCCCCAGAGCAGCCCCTTCCTTCCCCATGCCTGACCCGCCCTGCCCTTCTCGTTGAAAACCGATCCCTTGGTCCTCATTGAGCAGCCTCTTTGGCCGCCTCTTCGGCCTTGGCTGCGGCCTCTTTGGCCGCCTCTTCGGCCAGCTTCTTCCGGTGCGCTTTGGTCATGTCCTCCACACGGACCGAACGATACTGAGGAGGATGGATGCCGGACGAGGTTCGAAATGGGGGGGAAACAGGCCATGGAACGGTTGGGCCAACAGCCCTCCTTGCTTCATTGGCTCAGTATATGGTTTGGGGCCCGGAAGACACTCTTGGCTCCCACTACAAAAGCCGGCTTGAATTCCCTTCTGCATGGGGTGAAACCAAACAGTTCCATTTTCCCCACGGATGAATACTGATGCCGACGAAGGGTTGTTCATGCCATGAAGATGCTCAGATTTCGGCAGTGATACCCTCAGCCAAGGAGATTCATCTAGTCTCCCGTGCTTTCCTGCTACCTGGAAATTTTGAGACACAATACTTCTTGAATGAACTCAAGAACCAGTCACGTGTGTTCATAATTTAGTTCTCACCCGCAACAAGGTCAGTTTCGGTTGTGAGACTAAAGAAAGCACCTGAACATATCTGAACAGTGACCCACTGCGAAGAATTCTTGGCAAACAAAGCCTAAGCGGCGCAAGCTCAGAACTGCTTCGGCCAAGTTTCTCTGACAGCCAGTTGGAAGCGTTCATCATCATCCTGTAGTTGTAGCTGGAGTGTGGAAACCCGTGAGAAAGGCACCGCTGATCTATCGGGAAAAGGATGAAGATTACAGGAATGTGTTGCCTCACTTAACGGAAAGGATTGAGTCTTGTTGAGATATCTTCAGTAACTCGAGAAAGTTGAGACTTGATATCTGATAGTCCGAGGTGTGAGTTTCTCTGACAACCAGGCCTTAGAGGCAAAATCGGTGGAGAGATTGTATTTTCATAGGCCAACAATCTTTAAACATCAAATACTAGAGCACAAAAGACATGGTGGCAAAAAAGGCTTGATGGGCTCCGAAAAATTCAATGGACAAAGGGTGGCTGAGGCATCTTGGGTGATCATTCCTTGAAACACCAAACATCAAGCTTTGTATGACATCCTCAAATCCTCCAAATTGATGAAAGCCCTTGAACACTTGGAACCAGATATATACCTTATCTGTGTAAAGGAACTGTCTACAACTACAACCCAAAAAGCAAGGGACTTGCGATAGATCCCTTCCATACCACGATTGGAAGATCCCATGTAGCCCCAAGTTTGGAGGGCCCTACAAAAAGAAGATCTCAACACTCAGCTTTTTCACTCTCAGCACATCTTCCCAGATCCGGGTCAACCCTCACACTCCTCATCATGGTCTGTCATCTTTGGATGTCTCATCGCGAGCGAACTGCGGCAGCTGCCTGATGAGCATGGGAACCCCAGAACGGCCATCGACTCAGCGTGTCCGTCGGTCCGTGCCTTCATTCCATCGTGCAAGCGCGAATGTGGCCCTTTGTTCGCTCCCAAACATGTTGTTGTTTTCATTTGTTTCTGGTTGGCCAAAAATCAATCTCAAATCCCTTTAAGAGCAACGACCCTGTGGCAAACATGAAGGCAAAGTATGCAGCTATAGGTGATTCATCAAATCGACACTGCCACAAATCCCTGGGCCTAGGAACTCCATCACATCTCCGGGTTTCCACTTGTACCTGGAATGGTCCAATCAAAACAAACAAATGCTGTTGGCAACGATCAAGGTTTCATGCCGCTGTGGAGTTATCGGTTATCACGGTCTTGTGAACCCTTCTACTTGACACCAAGTTCCGAACTTCAAGCCTCAAAGGTTCTGACCATTTTGACCACGTGCTACCACAAGCTTGACAGCTATCTAGTGTCTACTCGTGCTCAAGAAAAACATGTTAAGCACTTATGCATGTGCTGCACGCAACTTCGCGCACTTTGGGTCGCGAAGCTTCTCTCGACCACCACAGGGCAAAGGGTCCTCATCAGGCACTTTCCTTGGAGCTGCTTGGAGCAACACGGGAAACATGGCTTGCCTGGCTTGCAAAGAAAAGAACACAAAAAAAGGGGTCAGTTTGGGCTCGCCTTTGCTTGCCTGGGTCAATATTAAATTGACCGTTTGGGGGGGCCACCGACGTCCACCTCATGAGAGCTTGCGGCGAGTCATGGGAGCTTCGATCGAAGCGAGTCATGGCTGATTCGATCGACGACCCCACTGCTCATTGGCATCCGGCGACGTGACGAGCCAAACAAGTAAAGACTGGTAAAGCAAGAAAGATGGGATCCTGTATCATACAAGATGTACCAGTTCTTTTCGACTTGAAGCCAGGGCCAGCTTTACAAAATGGTCTTAGTTCCTTTGGCAAAAATGAAAAGTATCCTATGCAGCCAGGCCTTCGAGAAATCAAATGGGATGACTAGCCAAGCAGCTTCTTTCCAGGTGGGGGGGCAAAGCTCCCAGAGTGCGCGCGTTTTCTTGCCTCGCTTCGTCCGTTCGTTGGCTTCGGACCGGAACCCGGGTCGTTCTGGACCGTCCTCCGGTCCGTCGGCTGTGCGGTTCCACGTGTGGAAGGACAGGCTGCGTTCATTGAAGAAAGAAACACGGAGTGAGACGTGTAAGTGTTCTATACTATGTTTAATGATAACGATAATGGTGTTTTACTACAAGACTTACAAGAGAAACTCTTGAAAACAAATCCGAGCCAAAGCAAGCCACTGGGCAAAAACAAGCAATATAGTCATGATGCGATCCTTTTGGGGCGGAATCATGTAAAGCTTTCATGTAAAGCTTCGCGCGACCCAAACAAGGAAGGTGGACGGTCCAGCACTGTTTCGGCGCTTTCGGTCTCCGGCAGCGACGCGACTTTAGCGATGGCGGAAGGTGCCTGCTGTTGGACAGTCCCACTGCTGGCGAGTCAATGTGTTCGTTGGTTGACCACTAGACTCAGGTGAGTATTCTGACCAACGCTTTTTGCAGGTCGCTGCAATTCTCAAAGGCACACTCCCCAATGTGTGTCACTGAGTCTGGAATGGTCAATTTGGCCAACGGGTCGCATTGCTGGAAGGCTCTAGGGGCAATTTGAGGTTCATTGTCCAAGATGTTGACCACCAACAGCATGTCAAATTCAATATCACTACTAAAGCTGTAAATGGCACACTTGTTTGCTGGAGCATCTCACCATATGCGGCAACAGCAAATAACATTGGCAACAGCAGCTGCGGTCTTCGCCCAGTTGAGCTCGCAACGTCTCATCATTGCCCAACAGTTGGTCAAGAGACAACGAATCTCCACCCCGGTGTTTTCGTGACCTACGAACGGGACGCTACGAACGGGTCCTGGCCGTACTACTAGGAACGATGTTTGCTATTAGAAACCAATAAATAGAATTATACTCCTAGTATAGAATTAAAATTGCCAATCTTTGATCCGCCACTTGAGCTCTCTCTCTCTCTCTCGGTTGCCTCAGGTGTTACTTCAAGGCACCTTGCCGAAAACCGTTCACCTGCAATACCGAAATTATCATCGCCATGGCCAAGTTCGGGCATAACACCAAAGAGTTTGGTTGCTCCTGATGTCCATGTTCTCGTTTGAACGGATTTCCGTTCAAAAAATCCTAGTTGGGGCCATGCACTTGGGATCCACACAGATGAAAACCTGCAAAAAGGTGGTGAACCTGGATGACCCAGTACAGGTGGTGCGCATCTTTCCCCGCCTCCCTGGACCTTCAAGCTGGGAATGCTTTTGGTGACAGCACTTCACGGATTCTCTAGCTCGAATCTCCACAAATGGGCGAACCAAACACCTATCTATTGGACACCACGTTCAACAAGCCGTGATTTGTCCATGAACAGTACTTCCCAGATCTTCCAAGCTCCAAAAGCAAAGAATGACCACTTCCAAGCTCCATTTGTGGGCACTGCCCGGACTCGATTGTTGCAAACCCAGAGTTGCCAAGTGGGGAAATAAAGACAAACACAGAACCAGCTCAACACACAGGATGCAGGAACACTCATGAGCCAGCACTTACCCTCCCGAACACTTGCATGAACCCTGACAATGGGTCCCTGGAAGATTGTTCTACCAACCAGTGGTTTTCAGGACCATGTTAGTCTTCAAGGGGGTATGGGCCAAAGCCAAGAGGCCCAAACTGTTGCGCTGCGAGATGTCGTCGGGGTAGGACTTCAAACAGGCATTCATCTCTTCCTCTCCTCTCTTGATCTTGACCTGCACAACAGACAGGTTCCTTCATAAATCTTCTTAACATGTCATCACCGGCGCACAACAGACAAGCACCAGAATCAATGCGCCACACGCGTGACCCGCCCTCGATCGGCCTTCAAGCCGCTCTTGGCCACTTGGGCGATCTCTTTCGGAAACTTGGCATACCAAAAGCTCTCCGTCTCAATCGACTGTGCCTGCCGACGACCACTTTTTCGGGCACAGACGAATGAGGCACAGTGTCACTTTTCGAGAGTTCAGCAGCGAAAATGTATGTCCTGAATGCCAAGTCTTTCGTTCATGGTGTCCAATGCAAGCAAAACGAAGCCCTCTGTCTCTACTAGAGGTTTCAGCCCTTTGGGGACCCACCCTCGCTTTTCTTGAAGCCATTGGCGCCATGGCCCCTCTCCCCCCAAGCTGGTGTCTTGAGGTCCACCGAACAAGGTCCTAGATACACACAGCTTTTCTGTTTGGCATGATTCCGGTCGATGGGTCTTCTTGATCTATGAGCTTCTACAGAAACATCCAAACAAATTCGGCCTACCCGACCTTATCAACACGATCAATATATGTTGTTTATATATATATATATATCACCTTTCACATCTGTTCATCTCTAGGCCGGGCTGGCTTCTCCGCACACCTCTCTCTCTCTCTCTGTGTGTGTGTGTGTCCATCCCTTTCGCGCCTCATCGTCGCCCATCTCCTTCTTCTTCACGATCTTCTCCTGAAAATAGGCTCGCTGGGTCAACAGCCACACCAGCTCATCGTTGTGGACCATGAACAATACCCACCCAAGTAGGGTGTTGGGATGCTGGTTGGTGACCAACTGTCACCAACCGTTCAAACGGATTCTTGTTTTCGATTCTTTCCATAGGGGTACTTTCCTACCCCACTGAACCTCGTGGCATCCCTCACCATCCCCGGGTTCCACGTATCATCGGATCGCGCCTTCGCTCCATCCAGCATCTCTTGCGTGATGTCACTCGGCTCGAACCTGGGATTGGAGATCTTGTGAGTTTCTTGAGAACATTTAAAGCACCTACAAGCCTTGGTTGATGAGCTTCGTTTCCTAGTTTCATCTTCCTGGTTCGGTGTATGTCTGCGGCCCCACGCGCGGTGCCGTGATGTGCCGTGTGCTCTTTTGACACCACCATCCCGTCGGATGTCCCGGTCGGTTCGCATGTCAGGACGGTTCTTCCCACAACTCGTGATGAATACACACCACCCCTTTGAATTGGACGAATCCTCTTTATATGGGGATGACATGTAATCAAGAGTCTACATCGTCTACATCGTCTACATGGCCTCCGGAACCGCTGACGGACTGGGACTGCAGATCACCCGAATCGGGAAGAGCCGTTGAGTCATCTTGAGTCAGTGAGCCAAGCCATCTTGCAGTCAGACCGAAAGAAAGAGACGGATCACCAAACCATCCAGAAAGCGCGTGGCGCGTCCAAATGCAGATCTGAGCGGCAACTTTCGGATGAAGTTCACATTGTGCTGCAGTTTGTTAACATCTTCCAGAGTCTCCTTCTGGTACCGAAAGCATTTACCTCACGCAAAGACACTGATAACCCTCCTGCTCCTTGGTACTGTCTCGGCGTCTCGCCTTACACGAGATCTGAAGTCTGACATACATCTGTCGCCCTGCATGGATAGAATTGACCTCCAATCTCCACTTGTTCATGGACCAAGTCTTCCCACATTAAGGTGCGACTGCAACTCTAAAGCAACCAACTGCTGATAAATATGGTGGAAAAAGTTACCATGGTTCGGGAGCAGTTTGTGTGGTCAACAAAAAATGTGTCGATTTCCCTGCTAACTGGTGTTGAGGGTTGTGGCATCTGCTGCGAACCTAGCGATCCAGTCAACCACTCCAAAAGTGAACGTAAGTATATAACACTCTGCGTGTGAGCTTCACACAGGTGCAGGGATAAATCTCAGGGCCTGTGCTCAAGGAGGGCCTATGCGCTCCTTCCGGCCCTTCTCACCCAAACCCTGCACAAACTTGGCTGAGCTGCAGTCCAGGTCTGGCTTCGGGTTGTCGTCCCCGGCCATGCCTGGCATTCCTGGTAGTCCGGGCCCCATTCCAGGCAGTCCAGGTCCCATTCCAGGTAGTTCTGGCCCTGCGGTTCCTGGCAGCTCCTGAAGCGCGAGACGCCTTTCCATGCGCCTTTCCACGTCGAGGAAAATACACATGAAAGTGGTTCAATTGCCCTTGGGAGAACGAGAATCGGCTACAAACAAACAAGCAAATATGGTCATGTCCATGTTAAGTCAGTCAGAGTGTACACTTCTGGTTACTGGTCACACACCAAACTCAATCAATCTCGTGTATCCTCTTGAAACCGGGTGCTTGCTTGTAGGATGCTCGTAGGACATTGCTGCAATGCTGCAATGCTCCTCTCCTTCATCAGGTTCAGAGTAGATAGCCTAGATAGGTGAAACCACAACACTATCATCATTGGATGAGGATTCATGTGAACTACCTTTGATGTATACGTGCGTGTATGTGTATATATATATATATCATATATCTGTTATCAACGTGAAACTGTGCATCTCCACATCCGCTCAGAACTCTTGGAGTCTCCTGAAAGCTGCTGGGATGGAGGCGCGACGCATGTGCCATCTGCACGGCACCAATCCTTGGGGCCTCCAGGGCATCATGCCCAAGCCTTGGAGGAAAAAGAAGAGAAGTCGCTGCAAGTAGCGATGGCCTCCAACTTACTTGCGATGGCCTCCTCCGAACATCACGTCCTTGTTACTAGAAGATAACCCAAAGCATCCGAAACGACCTGAATCCCAAGCCAAGCGTATCACAGGATGCCAGTGGACGTCCCAAGCCAAGGGTTGCTACTCACCATGCTTCCTTCCATGTCAATCATCCCAAACCGGGACTTCCCTCGTTGAGAAAATAGAAAACACCCATGTCATGTCTTGAGACTCCCTGAATGGATCTGAATGGTATCTATATACATGGCTGTAGCCGAAGTCATGGACTGTCGACGAATTCATGGACTGAAACAACTGCAAAGAGAGAAATCAACAGGTTTCAACACCCATCAATCTTAGGATTGGATTGAAGCAAAAGGACGCCGATGTTGTTTCATCATCACTACACCATAGGTGGCACTCCACTGAGCAGTGGGGTTTCGTTCAGGCTACTATGTGGGCCATATCGAGGTGTCACGAGGCTGCGAGGTGATGTGGGCTACCACGTGGACCCGTCGCTGCATCGGAAGGTACATACAAATCGTGCAAGAGAAGAGCCTATACTATAGACTAGCTATTGTTTCCATGAAGGAATGCTCACCACCCCCAAGTTTTTCTCTTGAAAAACGTCTCCTCCACATGCGTAAAAACCCTCGTCGTTCACTCCACTGGCTACGTCGTACACTCACCGGCTCGGTGGCTCCGGCGAACCCGGTCGGCGAAGCCGGTCGGCGAACCCGGTGGGACCGCTGGGACCGGGCAGGACGAGGTCTCGGGTGACCACCTCGGTCTCCAAGAGGCCATAGCCCGGGCATGGCAGTCGCTAGGCGCACAGGTGCCAGTCGGAGCGTTCATGTGAGGTGTGGCCGGCCACTCCCAAGTGCTTTACAGTTGTCACTGAGCTTTAGTCTGCAAACCGAACGGAACAGCAAAGGACCCTGCAGGGTGAACACACAACAGAGGGCAGACCGAGAACGCGGTTCAATGTATGGAACTTATAATAGCTGAAATATATGTTTTGAGTTGTTCACGAAGTAGTGGCCACGAATGTCCTAGTAGCCATTCCAAATCCTTCAAAAACGGTTCTGCCACTGTTGCTGTTGTCTAAGGCCATCAGCACTTGCAACCCCTTCACACAAAAGAGTCCCGACTACGACGCGCCCCACCTTTCTCAATCCTAATGTTGATGCTGGATTGTTTCTTGCACGGTCTATTTCATCTCCCCTGCTTGTTGGCATCTGTGTGGTTGTGGAGAATGCGAACGCTGGGTCATCACTTGAGCCTGGGAAAGGACCGCCGCTTAAAACAACTCTAAATCGGATTGCGTAGGCGCCCCCAAGCAATTGGAGCAATCCTGACGAGAATGTCAATCAATCTGAGACGTTCTCACAGACTCTGAGACGTTCTCACAGACTCCCATGCCGCTTCGCAACAGAAGCCCAGCACAAGCGCCATGCGCCGCGCTTCCGCGCGAAGAGTCAGTACATTTTTGAACGATGCGGCCCATCCCTCCTTGCAGCGCTTCGTAGTGGAAGTCATCCTGCGGATGAGCAGCTCGTGCGCTCACGAACACGCGGACGACGAAACATCGACCCCTCGTGAATTCCATCGCAGAAAACCCGCCCGGCACCGCAGGCACCTTGGAGATCTAAACTCTTGTGGCTTCGATGCTTGAGTCCAACTTGACAATTGCAAAGCGGCACTGTTTGTATTGATTCTGAGGAACTTTCTGAGTACATAACGATTTCCACAAACGTGGAGAGAAACTTAAACATTTGACCTGATAAAAGGATCTTGGTTTTCCTTTCTATCATAATGTCCTTGTTTCACGAGCCAGCAATGGCGGAGTGGCATGTGAGCCAAAAGCTGTTTGACCTAGTTCACCAGTATGCTTCACTTCCGTGTTCAAAGCCTTTCGTGTATCATCAAACCGATCGTTTTTGTCATCTTCCGGTCGGGAAATCGGAAGAGCAGGTACTTCGTCTGGTCATAAGATCACTGAGATCACCCGACCGCGACCGTGGGAAGCGTGCGAGTCTTGACCGAATTGGACCTCTCCTCGGTGTCCCGGCAGGGCAGTTCCCGGGGCGTCCGTCCCGGTCCATCCCGTTCTCCAAATTGGTTAGAGGGAACGGAGGGGATGACCAACCAAGCGAAGAATGTGCTTGGCATGCTACAAACCGGTTACAACAACCATCCAACAAGGGCAGGTCGCTAGGACTTTGGAAAAATGTGATCCTGCACCTTGCGAAAAACGGGCAAACTCTGGCTGAACTGAATTCTGGAGTGGATCCTTATCAGCATCGCTGTGCAGGATGTTGTCCATTGACGTGTGAAATTGATGTGGCTCAGATTGTAACCTTCTCATGGTATGCCGGACATAGCATAACTTCTGTGATGTTGATAGCATGAAACAACTCATTACTGCACCCATAGTCTATAGTCAGGTCTCAAAGCCTTTCAGCATATCTGACGATTGTATGTAAGTGCTTAGCAGCCAAACTACGCGTCCTGCAGGTGTTGGTAAGCATCAAAGCTCAAGAGACGCGGATCCAGAGATGGTTTGCCCACGGCAAAGTGGTACAGCACCTGTGGGAAGCGTTCTTTGGATTCCACCACTTGTGACTTGTGCAGGTTGATCCCTGGATTGGTTTAGGGTGTGGGTCCATAAAACCCCAAATGCTAGAGGTTGCTCCGCCCTTCTGCACTGCAACCGAAAAAAGGTTAAAATGTGGAAGCACATAGCACTCCAGGTACTGGATCTCTCCCCATGGCCGGTCGAATACATCCCTTCTGGCCAGCCGCCGAACCGGGTTGCATTCTTGCCGGCTGGTTCCTCTTTTTGCAAGATCCAGCACCCTTGGAGATGTGCAAATCCTCGATCCTCTACCATCTCTGTATCCGTCAACCCCTATTGCATAGGGTTGTATGAGATGTGGTCAAAATATCGTCAATTAACTGTTTGCGTTCCTCTGTTCGTTCCATGTTCCTTTGCCCACGCACTGTATGTCTGACCTCCCAGCAACGCTATACAAATCCTTCCTTCAGATTCCCCCCAGTTGTGCCCTCCTAGGCTGAAGACGATGTAGACGGAAGAAACACTGCGTGGTCTACCCCCGAACGTTGCATGCCCCCCCAAGTAAATATTGAATCATGGTATATGATCCAACAAAACATCTTGGATGTTTTCATGTCTGGAGTCGATCCGTTATCAATCGAACACCGTTCGATTTAAATCTCTGGTCAACACCGTACTGCCTCCCCTATAGATGTTGGTCATTCAGATTCGACCCCCCCAAATCGCCTGGACGTCATCAATTCACTCTTCGCCTGCCTGATACTTTGCTTCTTGGACGTCATAGCTCTGCGCATGGCTGTAGGCCTTGGAATCCATGCTCCAGGGTTCCCGAAGCAACGCCAGCGTCATGTCATCCATGAAGCACCCCAGGCCTCAGTGCAGCGGCTTTCTGAACTACATGTGAAGCCCAAGAATGTGAGCACGTGGCACAGTTCAGAACGTCGCTTTGTTTGATACCAAAAGTCATAAGCATAGCTTGGTGCACTCTGGGGCGGTCCCTGAACCCACCTGGTGTGAACCTACTGTACAGACCAACAAAGGTTACCAGAAGACCTAGCAAGGACAATGGTCTGGGTAGCCAAAGAAAACGTCTCCATTGCCACACCATGTTCAACCTCTAAGAGTTGGATGTCCAATGATATCGCTAGCATTAAAAAGAAACAAATGAGAATACTGCCATCTGCTTTCATGTGGGCGGTCAAGGCACCGGTGGCACCGAAGCCTTCGGCTTCGGCCGCGAGGTAGAGCACATGACCCAAAGCACCGGCCTTCGAACGAATCGAAGGGTTCAAAGGTTTCAAACGGAGTCCAGAGAGGTCCAGAGAGGTCCAAATCATTTCAAGAACCTCCCACTCAACAACAGTCTTTGAACTCAATTGTCTAGTCACGTCTGGAGACGAAGTCTACCAAGCCTGGAAGGATGGAATAGTTGTTTTTACATATATATATATATATGTATGTATGTATGTGTATGTTTTTCTATCAAGTGCCAACGAAAGGTGCAGAAATCCAAGATGTCTCACCTGTCAAAACTTGAACAGCACCAGGTCTGATATAGCCCGGTACAGCTGTAGAAATGATACGTTCTTGTCATATTTTGGGCCTTGCTGCATCATCTGCACAATCACGATGTGAACATGTGTTTGCATCCAGAGTTGAAAGACTCTTGAGAGAACAATCCAGCCAGCCCAAAAATACAGTTGATGGACTACCCGGGATTGCACAAACCTTATGAATAATGAGATAACAAATCCATCAACTCAGTTAGATTTACAGCGCTACGGAAGCATGTGTTCACTTCAGGCATGATGCGTCAAACCATTTTCCAATGCCCTTGTGCTGTAAATGAATACGTTGCTGTCGATCACCCAAAGCTTCTCAGGGAGAGGACTGCATACGTTCACAAGCGCTGCGCTCGCCGCCTGCCACAGGAGCTCCGCATAGTTCCTGCAAGATTGAGCCCGACAAAGGCTCCGAAAAGCTGGGTTTGTCAAAATTACGCCAGCAAAGACCCCAGATAGTAAAAAGATATTTTTGGGCAGCAGCAGTAGCACCCTCAACAGCACCAGCACCCACGCTCCAAAGCGCACACTGCCATAGACATCTGAATCTAAAAGCAACACCCTACAGCGGCAGCAGCAGCAGCAGCACCAGCACCAGCACCCAAGCTCCAATGCACACACGGCCATGGAAATCTCGCAGCAGCACCGTGCAGCGGCACCCTGGCGGCACCAGCAACCAAGCTCCAAAATGCACACGGCCACGGACATTTTGCAGCAGCATCCCAAGCTCCAAAGCGAACACGGCCATGGAACCCTCGGCGGCAGCACTCACGCTGCAACGCGCACACAAGCATTTCTTCCTATACTTGAAGTAAGAACCCCAATAGCTTTCGACATGGAACATCTGCCCATAGCTTGATGATTGAACCGCCACCGTCTCGTCTGCATCTGTGTTGACTCGCTCCCCTAGTGAGCTGACAAATGATGCAGTGTGGCCCGAACCCTCACTATTCCCTTTTCCTGTTGCTTCGGACGTGGCCTTGGCCTCGGGGTTGGGATCAGCCTGGGAACTGTTTCCATCATTGCCTCCTTTTTGACCGTCGCTTCCTTTGTTCTGACCCCTACAGTTTCCACTATACCCTTTCAAACCACACTTGAAACGCGTCGTTTTTGACAAGTCCGTTTTACAAGCGGAACTGTCATGGTTCTTCTTTCCACATCTGCAACCACCAGCTGACACTTTTCTGAAAAGTCGTTTGCTTCGTCTTCAACGAAGAATTTCGAAAATGCTCCAAGTTCCACACGCGGCCTTTGTTGTCTTGCGTATTTGAATGCAGCATACTGCAGTGACTCCCAAGATTCACTCTCACTTTGCGCACCAACACATACTGCTTCGCTTCATGAGGGAGATTCCTGGTGCACAACAGCGCCAAATCTGAAGGCCCAATTCTCAAATCATTCCTTTCCACTTCAGGGAACGGGTTTCAATGAGTCTTTCCACTTTCTGACTGGAATCATGCGAACAAGGTCCGGCACAACATGAGCACTCTTAGGGTCTAGGCTGAAATCCCTTTGCAAGAGTTCAGCCCTCAAACAAATGGCGTCTATTCTCACAATAGCTCAAGCCCGTAAGAACAAAAAGGCTCAATTTACTAGGCCTTGCACGCTCGGATCAACGAATCGATCCCGGAATGTTATACCGCCACCCTCAGCAGCGCAAACAAACGAGCCCACCGCCCCTGCTGTCCAATTGTTAAGGTGCTCACAATCTCCGATCTCCATCGAATACCTTGCTGAATCTCTGTAGCCATCTTGCTTTGTCCGATGCTAACTGCGACCAAGCCCTCAAGCTTGTACGTAGCTGAAAAGTTCTCCGATCTCCGCCTCTCTGTTCACCAAGTTGACACCTTTGCTTCAGGTGGTTGTGATAACCATGCATTTCTCCGGTCTACTGGAAACGTCCCTATCCCCACTACAGTACTGGGGAGGACCAGGCATGGGGGCCCACTTTCAACCGCTATTTCAACGCCAGGAATGACCTCCTGAAATGCGGCTGTTGGTGCGTGCGCGTTGGAGCCATGACCTCCGAGCGCAAAACAACTGCACCAGTGCTTGCTGCAAGGTGCGACACGTGAAACTGCCACGCTGCATCAAAAGTCATGAACCTTCAATCTTACAAGCAAAGGCCTTGCTCACCATGACACAAACAACATATCCCCAATCCACAACATGGCTCCACCTCGTGCTAGGAGTCTAGGGGGAAGGTGGGTGGTGACCAAGCCTTGCGCAAAAATTGGATAGCAAAAGATATATGTGGGCAGCGCCTAGCAGCGGCACGAGGATGCAGGCTCGAAACCACGCACTGCCATAAGCATCTGGCAGCAGCAACTCGCAGCGAGACTTTGCAGCGCCCTCCAGTGGCACCAGCCCCGTGGCACGGCCGTAGACATCTGGCAGCAACACCTGGAGCGGGACTGGCCAGCATCCCCGAAGCGCACATGGCCATACACATCTCTCCAAAGCGCGCACGGCCATGAACATCTCGCAGCAGCAGCATCACCACCAGTGCCCAAGCTTCAAAGCGCACACACACACACATATGGCAGCAGTGCCTGACAACGGCACCCTGCAGCGCACCCTGACAACTTTGAACTTGAAAATTGGATTCCCAAAGTAACGGTACTCAAACATGATGTTGCCCAACAGAATCTTCCAACCAAAACTTGCAAATCCTCCAAAGACTCCAAAGGCGCTCCATGATCCAACAACTCCTTCCCTCAGCCAACACCAATAAAAAAATACCGTCTGGCATCAGGCTTGGTTCGAAGTCGCTGGCCCTGAAGGATATGGATATGTTCTTTTCTGAATTCTTTGTGGTTTGCCCTATGTGTGTCCTGCGGTCCGGGGCTAGGAAGTTAGGAGGAATTAAAGCTTGATCAATAACATTTGTACATGTACATTGTCCTTGGGAAGCGGGAGCAAACAAACGCTGTGCGATCGATCGAGCAAGAAGAAACCTCATCCTTCTAAGTGCTCTGGGGAATGCCACAACAAAGAAGCCTCTCCTCCCAGCCATCCACATTCAGCTCCTGGGATGTGTCCAACCGTGGAAGTTTCCCAGCGCTGCTGCTGCAAATACGCCCTCACTTGCGACCTCCTGCCCACATGCGCTGATTTGCGCAGCGTGGCGGACATCCGCCTCAACCAATCCGAGGGGAGGCGGGCGGCGGGCGGAAGTGTGGACACGACGGCCGGACATGCAAAGGAGGAAGGGGGATGAATCGGGATGAAGTGATTAGTTGGTTTGGGCCACAATCACCATTGAGATGTCGGCTGAACACTATCGCGCGACATAATGCAATCATCTCATACCACTCCACAAGAAACGATGTACAATTTGGAGATGCGCCATCCAAAAGCCAATCCTGTTGGAAATCAGAGCTTGAACACAAACTGACCCCAAAACAACCTGAAGAGTCAACCCCACTTTCAGAAGAACGTGCAAACATCGTGTTGTCTCGTTTAGAGGGCTCTGCACACGGCCCCCAACTAGATAGACGCCGCAGCAAGCGCCAACCTACCAACCTCCTTGCCGCGACTTCTTTCTCCGATCAATCCCTATACATTCCCCCACTGAAACTTAGAATGCCTGGAAATCAAAAACAATGATGAAACTTGGCATGCCCCGTTTCAAAGTCCAGGGGACGTTGTGTTTTTGAACACTGTTTCTATAGCGCCACGATTAGTCATGGCATTATTTGTGAGGTGGAAGAGATAGAATGCCTGGACACGCGTGCATTCTAAGTTGCATCTGAACACCATCCAAATGTGTATAACTACAATATTTGGAAGCATTCTACCTTTCAGCGGGGTTGCAGTTTTAAAACTCACACCCAAGCTTCCATAGTTTGTGTCCATCAAAAGGGTTCTACACAGACGAACTGAAACATCAATGGTAGCAAACACAAGGGAGAGGACTTAACACGCCGTTTCGGATAGCATTTACAAATACCATGTGTTTTTGTTTTGACATCTACCAGACTCATGCAAATTTCTGATCTGGAGTAGCAATATAAGGCAGCGTGCAATGAGGAATCCGTTTATACACTGAATATTGCCATGTCCGATCATGGACAAAAGCAGTTATTGCTTCGTCACTTGAAAGATAGACAAAAAGCAATCGCTGGTTTGCTTAAATCATGAAATGAACACTGCTTTGGCATCCTGAGCTTTGCCACGCTTGTCCTTGGCGGTCCTGGCCCTGTGAGACCGCTCTAAGTATGCCTTGCGGTAGTTGGCCCAGTTGGCAATAGGTGACATGCCCTGCTCTCGCAGCTTTGTGTTGAGCTGCGTCAATGCCTGCTGGGTCATATAGTCGCCAGTCTTCCAGGCTTTGGCGACAGCCTGCCTTGTCCAAGGCTTGGGTTTCCTCCTTTGTGCACCGTGCCATGGCTGAACTGGGGAGCTGTCAGCACGTCGAAGTACTGCGATGAACTTTGAACTTGCAAGACGTCATCAAGCGGATTTGCAGCGCTGTAGTACCAGACAGCATCGCTGGTGGCAGGGTTTAACACGGGCACGACGGTGGACACGGACAAAATGGGCAGGATGGGAAAGCTAAGGAACACGAAGGTAACACACATGAAGGGAAATGGGCACACTTTGAATGGCACAGCGGCACAACTCGAAAGCACGCACATGAAAAGGTGGAAATGGGCTACTGGGAAAGCTGTCTACTTAGAATTGCTCACAACAACGAGACCCATGGAAACAAGGAACAAGGCAAGGGATAGAAAGGACAGGGAGGGGACGGGTGTTAAACGAGCCAGAGGATGGGAAGGGCAAGGAAAAAAGAACATGAGGAAAGTGGCTGGTGAAAGTTGCCCACTTCGAATGCCGCATGACACACAAAAACGTGAGAAACCGCATGATAGAAAGGCACAGGAGGGGAAGAGTAGAACAGGCAAGAGGTGGGAGGGAACGGGCGGGACAGATAGGAAAGGAAAGCAAAACAGAATGGACGGGAGAGGGAAGCACACCAGGAACAAAGAAAATATAGGCTCCGGCTTGGTGAGTGGAACCTCACACCGCTGGCCTCGAGAACCGGGAAGTTCGCGCAAGCTTCTGAACACTTAAAGTACTGTACTTGTACCTTGCCTCTCGTTGTTGTATCGATTGCATTTCCAGGCCCGTGACAGGCAAACAAACGAATCCTCTCAACAGGTCTGTGTCTTAAAATATCTCATTATTGCATCATATGATACATGAGCTGGTTGCAATCGTATAACTGATTACTCTTTCTCTTAGTCCCTTGGAAACTGTACATTTGGGACCAACTTATATCTCGCAATGCCTGCAGGTTCATAATCTGGGCCTCCTGAAAATGTACAACTTCAAGGGGTCGAAAAAGTGATTGTGTGATTATGCACCATAAACCTCACGATGCGCAAGATCCAGACAAGGCATAGACATGAACGCAGCATGAAGTGGATGAATTGGGTCTATCCCATTACCAGTAACAGTGGATGATGATGGTTAGTAAAGGCCTTACTCAAAATAGTGCCAGTTGTCTACTGACTGCTACAGGTATATAGTTTCATACAACTGGCAGACCCAATAGATTATAATCACTGTACTATTGGACTCTCTTGCATATGTTTTTGTTGCGTTTTGATTACTTGCAACTTGAAAGCATTATTGGCAATATATTGGATAAGAAGTCCAAGAAAGAGAAGGAGGAGAAAGACGACGAGCGTGGAAGGTCACACGGCAGAAGAAGGAGTCTCCATCTCCGCCATCAGAAGGACGAGCTCGTCTGACAGCTCTGACAGCTTCTCTCAGATGGTCTACGAACTGTCGCACCGCTGGCTACCACTGGCCACCCTGGCTGCCGTGATCTCGCCGGTCACGCTGCCTTGTGCGTTACGCTGCTCGTTCTCCGATGCCTGGAGGGTGTTGTAGTAGTACATGCTGAACAGAATGCGAGGCGATGTACATTTGTTGGTGTGATGGAGGTCAGGTTTTGAAGCCGTCAGTCATGGTTACGGTGTAGGGGAGTACAGGAAGGCCCCTGCTTGCGAACACACCCAAGATGAACTTCCTCTGGCCCAGTAGCACGAGCCATACGCCATAGCTGGCAGCTACCCAAGGGAAGGTCGACTTTCTCCTTGGTCCATCATGATCCATCTACAGTGCAACTCAGGCATCATTGTGTCTTTCGCGCCGGAGGGAGGGCATCCATTTGAGGCCAACCAACAACCACCCCTCCGTGAAGCCTTCACACCAAGTCAGCCACGTAAGTCTAAGAGGCTCCTGAAATGTCGGAGAAGTCATCCAGCTGGCCACGCACCAGCAAATAGAGCCCGGGCTCGAAGCCTTCCTAGCCACGTGAACACGGATACTCGTAGCAGGGAATCAAACAAGAATGCATCTGTAGATCTACGAAGCTGAAAACACCGGAATTCGACGGGTCCAGCAACCTCTCGGAAATCAATTTTCAGCTGAGTCTCTTGGTCTGGGGTTGAGCCCTCTTCTCGCTTTAGACCAGTTCTTTTGAGGGTGCAGCTTCAGGATGCTTCAGGTGTCGCACTTCCCCAGCGATCCCAGTACGAATCAACAATTTGCCAGCGCGCCTGGGTCCTAGAGTTACTTGATCATCCAATCCACGAGAAAATGATTGATGCCTGGTACATACCTATTGAGAGGTTCTTTCAAAGCCCCGACGCGTTCGCATTCATGTTTTTGGAAGTGGCATGAAGTGGCCGAAAAACCATGGTAAAACGATGTAAAACGACGAAGTTCGGTCCTTCGGTCTCCCGTTCGCTCTCTACCTCCCGAGGCGAGGTCCCGACCGGTCGTCACGCGACGCACGACCCGTTCCGTGGCACCGAGCTTCAGTGGCTGGGCGGACAGGACGGGATAGAAGCTGGTGATAGTATGGGCTGGGTATCACATGTATAGTTGGTGATGAGGCATCTCGGATCTTGCCCAGGCATGATAAGATCTCTCTTCCTCTGTTTTTTTTGGCCAAGAAGCTACACGATGTATCATCATCAGCAAGTGGACTTTCATCCTTCGGCCAGTTCCTGAGCACCCTGTCCCAGAAAAGAATACAAACAACAATGATTCACCGACCATGGCAGTGGAGTTGAGATTCTTTATGCAAAAAAAGTGGTTGCAATATGTTGCAATTGGGAGCAATGTTTGAGATCGGTGGTTTGGATGTCATCGATTCAAGTGAGTCTTCACAAGAAAAACGAACCTTGGAAGAATTCTGGCAGTTTCCGGCTCTTCGCCATAAAGCCCGCTGGAAAATAGACCCCGCTGGAAAGGAAGAGACTTGAATCATCCCACAGTTGGGGCAACCAGACTTCGCGTGATCGGACGATTTCTACCCAGTGGCTCACCACCCGTGGCTCCACGCTGCACTCGCAGGCTGCAGCCAGCACACGCGCGAAGGCCGCCTTGCCCAGCGCCTCGTCGCCGGCGAAGCGCAGCGCAGAGCGGCGCGCGAGGACGGCGCGGCGGAGGTCGGGAAAGCGCCGCAAACAAACGTCGGAGGAGCGGGGCTGTGCCTCGCGCCGGGAGGGTGGTTCGGGTGATTTTCTCAGATCCGGATTGGATGGACAGCGCAAAATACAGTAGGCTTCATGCACTCATGCACGTACACATAGCACCTGCTGACCAGGAAGAAAAGAATCTTCCAAGACCGGAAACAAAACTCTTAAAAATGGTTGGAAGAGATCCATCCATTCCTGCCGACCCGAGCTCGTCCTTGCCTCGCTCTGCTCTCCGTCCACCTCAGCGCGGTGCAGTTTCAGGGCCTCTTGTGCTGCATCCATCGCCTCCCAGCGTCGCGCGGCGGCGGGACCCAGCGGCGTGGGCTCCTCGAAGCGGCGAAGCATGGTGGAGAAGTGGACACGATGTCCACGTTTGATGGGGTGGATCCAGGACGAACATGGTGATGGTCCAAGTCTAGGGGTGGTTGATCTGTTTCAAACTGCTTGGGTTAGGCCGAATTGATTGGCATCCTCTTGCGAAACTACAAGAGACTATGCCTCCTATGATGTTGGATGTTGAAGAAATCCTGCACCGTAGATGTGGTAACATGTCCAAGTCTGGTCCAAAAATGTGTCATCTTCCGGATCTCGATGATCTCGATGATTGGATACACAATACAAAGCCAGCCTTGAATGTGATTGAACGTCCAGATGTCTGCTCCGTTGCCCGTTGCAACATCATCGTCAGACATCGTCGAGGTCTTTGGACGCAGCCGAGCCGCTCCAATACTCTGCACCTGAGCAGCAGAGTAGCTCAACGTCAAACCCAGCCTGGGTGGTGTTTTTTCATGCACTGTTTTTTCCAGACAGGGGGTCAAATGGGAAATTCCGTCTATCAAATGTTTGGTAGGTGACTCATATTTGAGTCATGACTGACTGTTATCACAAAAAACAGAAAGAATGCCACCGTTTCCTCCAAGGGGGTCGGAAACACATGAATTTGTCTTGGAGGTTCATCGTTGAAGAAGGAACTCCTGTACCTAGATCTCTTGAGGCCTCAACTCTTGCAAGATTTCTTCCATCAATTCGAACACTATCCTAGGGGTATAGTCTAGACATGTCTAGGCCTCACCCATGAGCTGCACTTCATCCTCCATGCTCAGCCTCGGCACCTGCTGATAGCTGGCCATGACCTCCTCCACTTGCAGCTCCAGCGGCCCGGCACCCGGCCCAGCGCCCGGCCCGGCGCCCGGCGCGCACACGCGGAGACAAAGCTCCGGAGACTCGTCGGGCAAATCCACGAAGCTTTGGAGGAGCTCGTGAATGGCCAAGACTGAAGGGCCTGGTCGGAACAGGATCGAAGAGTGCTGAGAAAAACTGAATATGGGTTGAACAGAATCGATGTCTCTGACACACCGCAGTCCCAGGTTCATTCGCTTTGCAAGTTAGTGGCCGAGTGTCGAGTCTCTTGTGGCCAAGGAAGGATCCTGCCAGGCCGGCCCACCGACTCCAAGTCAGCCTCGGCCCTCATGCAAACTGCCATGTGCACTTGGAGCACTTGCGTGCTTCAACTCGATCAGTTACAGAATAATACGGGGGTATCTTAAGGCGACCCCCTCTCAGAGCCCCCTGGAAAAATTTACAGTACATGCAAAAATATTGCAAAATTAGTAGGTAAGCACTTGATGGGTAGTAAATGGCCCGCACTACCTTGCTAACAAGAAACCATTCCAGTTTATATTCCAGTGAGATGACCCCTGGAATACTTTTAAGGCCGTCACGTTCGGTACCAAATTCACCTAGCCCCCCAGCCATCCACAGACTGGACGGACAGAGTTCACACCAATCCGCAGATCCACCGAATGGTTGGAGAATATTGACAGTCCAACGGTGCCTTGACTCATCTGCTTTCGTACTAGGAGCGATCGGACGCTACTAGTAGCTCCTGGCCTTACTACTACGAGCAAGGACGCTACTAGGAGCAAAGGGCATCGCTACGAACGGAGCAAGGACGCTACTAGCCCTCCTCATCCCGCCTTCTTCCAGCGTCCATCCATGAAGCTCGCAGGAGGCACCCAAGGCAGCCAGCTGGTGCCCCAGGTTTAAGTGACAGGAGCGCAAGGCACGCTCTCCGTATTTCCATGCCTCGCGCACCTCAGGGCGCCGCCCACGATGTGCGCACGGAAACCGTTCATCTTCCAGACACAGGCTGACAATCACAGAGAACGAAAAGAGAAGAGTATCAGAGAGGATTTACCCCAAGCAGGGGTTAGGAACCTTACGAACTGCTTCGCCTTGATCTCTATAGGGGTTCCTTAAGTCTGCTATTGTGTAACGAGCTCCTTCTCTGCCTGAACGTTCCAGGGCCTGTGTCAGGCAGTGAGTGGGACAAGAAAACCATAAAATCATAATACAAAATCCACCACAATCCTGGTGCCTTCATCTCCGCCGACGAGTAAGCCTCTGTTTGAAAGACCTCTGAAACAAGCAAATAGGTGCTACACCAGGACACTGGCACTAGCCCAAAGACCTGAAAAGGTTCATTTAGTCTAGTTTAGTCTACTTGGTGGAAGGGAATCTATATAATTGTTCACACCAACTCCTCCTTTCTCCAGGTCACGCACACGCTGCTCAAGACCACCAGAAAGCCGCCCTCCACCAACCTCTGCAGCACGGAAGACCGAAACACCTCCGTCACCAACCACCCACTTCCTTCTTTGCTGCTAGAACCGTGTCCCATGCTCAGATGGTTTGAGGAAGATGGTGTTCCTCGGTTCGTGGCCGTCACTGGTCACAGGGCTCCATCCCCGAAGTCGCGGATCACCCGAAGACGGCCTGCCGTCTTAGGGGCACTTCTCCCATCCCTGGTTCCGTTGGCCAAGCAAATTGGACCAACACAGGAACCATCCGACTTCGACAATCTCCCATCCGACTTCGTATGTCTCCCGCAGGGTCAGTGCAATTTCACAGACCATCACAGACCCAGGTACTCCTGCAAAGCCTGCCGCCGTAGCTCAAGGGAGTGCTGCTCGGGTTGGTAGTGGTACCTTCAAATCTGCCGACTTCGCGCACGCCCGGTCATCGAATTAGATAGCAACCAACTACAGTAAGGGATCCATGTTGAGTGGAGACCCCCACAGCGGAACTGGTCTCAGACATCGTCTTGTTCTGCCTTTGAGTAGGACTGTCCACTGCTTTGGTGCATGCGATAGCTTTCCCGCTGTCTTCTTAGCCCTCAGCCCTGAGTCCTCAGCCCTGAGCCCTCAGCCCTCCTCAATTGATGTCGAAACCGGCGGCTTCACTTCCATAGTGATGGTTTCCTGAAAAACCCTGGGTTTTCCCATCCGAACATTCAGTGATATATATATTTATTCAATCCACTGCCAACCTCCACCACCAACCCTTTGAACCACCATAATTGGCGGCCGCGCTCAGGCAGGTCCACACAGCTTGCTAGAGGGAAAAATCAGGCAGGAAGATAAGTTATATATATATATAGATTTCCATGACTTATATAATGTTATACATACAGGAAATGTATGATATAATGTATAGAATATACAATGTCATGACGTTATATATTGTATTTATGATATAATGTGTATATATATATATATGATACCACTTCGTACCCATGCCAGCACGGCCGCGCCCTTTTCATG